CATTAAAAAAGTTACGGCCTTGTTCACGAGCGTTGTGCCACGCTCGTTTTTAGTTCTCTAAAATAAATAATAATTATAAATTTCATTTTAATATGTGGTTTAGATGAAAATTAGTTATTTTTCTGTATTTTTATATTATATGCCAATTTATTTAATATGCTAATTGTTTAGTGTTTTCTGTTGAATTTATGTTAAAAAAGTTGGACATATTTTCGGTTTTCAGTAAACAACCAAAAGTAACCATTTATCATAACAATTTAGGCAACTGTTGCATTGTTGGAGTACACGGAAATGAAGGCGGCAGAAGTTCAAAATTCGATTGTTGGGTTTTGGGTCGAGTTACTTCCTTTTTAAATTTGTTAATGCGTTGGAAATGCTGCAGTAGAGATGCAAATTCTTAATATTACGAAAAAGAAAAGCATTTTCTTGTCTACACCCTCTGTATGCATTCTTTAGAGTTAAGTATTAAACCTTTTTGTTTTCTTTTTATTTCCACTGTGAAAATATAAAACTATGTCTTGATTTAATTCAATTTCACATTTCAAGGATGGTGGTCACCTTCACCCAACCCGCCTACGTATAAAATTTATTACAACCATTAGAATTGCTGTAAAATTTACCCCATAAATATTTCAAAATACAATAATAAATATATAAAAGATTTTTTCGTCAATTCTAAATTTCATAGTTTTGTGTAGAATAGAAATTACCTCACAATATTAAATCACTTTTTTGTCATTTCTCCGTTTTTGTTTTCAGATTAATTAAAAAGATGGGAAAAAAATTATAAATGCATATTAGCGGATGACTACAGTATATAAAAAGATATGAAAATCATTGTTAATTACGGAAGTACACATTGAATATTAATACAGAATTGTTTATAAATTCTACATAGATTTGATATTTATTAAGTGAAAAATGCAAGAGAATTTAGTTGTCTTTTAATTATAGATACATTTGAGCATTACAGTGTTCATAAAAAAAGTGAATGATGCGGAAGGTTAGTTATTATGTGTGACAGACTGGCGTAAGTGACACCTTGTATCGATTGACCTCTGCATGTAGGTCATCGGTGGACAGCACAGGTGCGGCAGGTCACACAACCACCTACCAGGAGTCTGAGCTTAGTGAATTATTTATTAACATAAACCCACACGACATATATATATATATATATATATATATATATATATATATATATATATATATATATATATATATATATATATATACTGTACATTCTTACACATATATACTGAAGATACTGTTCATGAGCTCTCTCTCTCTCTATCTATCTATCTATCTATCTATCTAAGAGTTGCGACGAAGACTGGGCAACAACAACAACTATAATAATAATAATAATAATAATAATAATAATAATAATAATAATAATGATAATAATAATACGACACTACACATAATCAACTACCAAATAAGACATGCTAGGGGGGGTCGCGCCTTTGAGGAGAAATTTGCTTAAATTTGAGAAAGACATCAAAGCGGAAGAAAATTGGCTGTACGTACTTTAAATGGGAAATGGGGAATGTAGAGGCGGGGGAATAGGGAATATGGAGGCGGGGAAATAGGGAATGTAAAGCGGGGGAAATAGGGAATGTAGAAGCAGGGAAATAGAATGTGTAGGGGCGGATAAATAGAGAGGTAGAGGGTGGAGGGAAATAGGGAAGAGAGGTACGGAAAATAGGGAAAGAAATAGAGAAGAAGGGGCGGAGAAACAAGGATGATGGAAGACTAGTAAGAAAGGGTGGGGAAATAAGGAAGGAAGGAACAAGAAAATAGGGAAATAGAAGGTGGTGGGAAATTACGGATAGTGAGGGAGGAAACCGTCACTAGAGGAGGGGAGGGAGGGAGGGAGGGAAGCGGCGTATATTGAAGGAGGGGCCCGTGGCTTAAGGAGGGAGGAAGGGAGAATATGGTTGTTGTCTAGGGAGCATAAGGAGGAGGATGGTCAGGGAGAGAGGGGGAGAGTGCATGGTTAGAGGAGAGAGAGAGAGTGGGAGAAAGAGAGGGTGTGTGGCCAGGGAGAGAGGGAGAAAGAGAGGGTGTGTGGCCAGGGAGAGAGGGAGAAAGAGAGGGTGTGTGGCCAGGGAGAGAGGGAGAAAACAAAGGTTCGTTGCCAAGGAGAGAGGAAAGGTGTGTGGCCAGGGAGAGAGGGAGGAAGAGTGCGTGACCAGGGAGAGAGATAAGACCTTATATAACGCAAAATATTATGAATTAGGTAAAATTGATAACATTGTATTGACGTTATTAACACACTAATACGTTCATAAAGCTCTTGTTTAGTCGCAATGATCCATGACTTACGACCATTGGTGGGATATTAACTCTGACCACAGTATTTGCCTCCACAGGTCAGGCAGGGTGTGACGCAATGTACCAGGTCACAGGTCATTTATCAGTACACAGACAGGTCAGACACAATCATTTCTGTACATATTCAACAGAACCTCAGAAAACCTAACCTCACTTGACATAACTTTACCTAACCTAACAATAACCTCTCCCAGCCTAACCTAACCTAACTCTTAACTTAACATAAGCTATCATATCTTAACCTAACCTAACACTAACCTAACCTATCATACCTTAACCTAACCTAACCTATGACACGTAGGTACACTGATGTCTCTCTCAAAACTCCTCAACAAGGTCAGTGTGAGTCGCATCATGCAGGGGAGTTAAATCTATTCCCAAATTAGGCTCAACATTTCCGCTGGCGCAACGGTCTATTGTCGTATGCAAATCTACACTGGTAAACTAAATTTGATGACGCTGACTCATAGATGAATTCCACCAAAACACTTGAGGCTTCCTAATTGCTTAAAAGGATTATAATGGGTCACTGGGTCTTAATAACTCTAACCTAACCTAAGCTATCATACCTTAACCTAACCTAATCTAACTCTAACCTAATCTAACTCTAACATAACCTAAGCTATCATACCTTAACCTAACCTAATCTAACTCTAACCTAATCTAACTCTAACATAACCTAAGCTATCATACCTTAACCTAACCTAATCTAACTCTAACCTAACCTAAGCTATCATACCTTAACCTAACCTAATCTAACTCTAACATAATCTATCTCTAACATAACCTAAGCTATCATACCTTAACCTAACCTAATCTAACTCTAACGTAACCTAACTTAACCTAAACCAATCTAACTGTAACGTAACCTAACCCAATCCACCCAGGTAACGTTAGGGAGTTTTATCGCCAGGTGGAATAAAGGCAATATGTAAACCTAAGCTAATTTACTTTTACTTGTCTCTTCATTATCCTTGTCACTCACTCTTATTCTCTCTCTTTATCACTCTTTCCTTCGCCTCTCTTACTACCACCCCATCCAAGAAAAGATTGAATAACCATGATAATTATACTGTAACATATATTTAACCTGGTCCTATACTTTCACCGAGAACCTGTTTTTCATTCACACACACACACACACACACACACACACTATCGCTATAAGAACAGCCCAGTCCCAACCATTGTAAAAATTATCAATAACTTGTAATAAATCAGTGTATTCACTCCCAGTAAACACTGCTCCTTACACTGTCACTATGTTGAAATGAACTGTAGTTTGAGCTTTTCCCCATCTAGTTATTATATGTCTTATTTGTGTCACTTATGTTACTTGTATATTATTTGTAATTCGTAACCCATTCCCCAAATATGTAACTGTATATTTTCAGCCTTCTGGCTGCCAAGCTCTTTCAATAAACCGTTAATTATTATTATTATTATTATTATTATTATCATATATTTCACTCCATAAAATATTTGTAAAGAAGTCAAGGCATATGTTTTCAATAATAATAATAATAACAACAACAACAACAACAACAACAACAACAACAACAACAACAACAACAATAATAATAATAATAATAATAATAATAATAATAATAATAACACAATGATCTGCCAGAACTGTTGTACACAATAAACAACTGTAAACTCAATTATTCAGAGGCAGGTCGCTTGAGCCGCGGGAACCTGGTGAGGGGTCTTGTAACACCTGACGACTGTCCATTCCAATATTCCTTGTAATTAATAAGTCTTTGTACAGTATATTTTTACCAAATTGTCTTGAGAAAATATGACACAACGGACGAAGAATTTTGACAACCCTACCGAAACAACAGAAGTCGCAGTGTTCATTCTGAAATTCATCGATTCCCAAGTAAAGATAGTTTTTGAGTGTATCACATGCAGTGACAGGTTTACAGTCAGACATGTCGTGTAAGTTGATATAATTTACATATTTTATACTGTAAGGTACAAATTTTAAGTATTTCACGTGACTCATAACTCACATCACCTCGGGTTCATTCATGAGGTGGGTAGCCCTCCCGCCGCGCCGCCCCCTGTTAGTGATAGCCAAGACTGTACCGTATACCTCCGTCACTAGCTCGCGTGTCTGGCCGGTATAACTTACAAGACGGACTATAACTGAATTCCTCCATCATACTTACAGGTGTTGTGCGATAATATGATCCAGACAATAAAAGTTCATATACTGAACTGTTCATGCCTCATATTTATTAAATTATTTATCTCGACGTATTCTTCAAAATGCAACACCTTTTGCTGATTCCTTGATAAGTGACAATCATCGTGTTAGGGGCACAGTACTGTATGTGTATGGTTCCTGTCCTCGTCTTCACAGGTCCCACAATGGTTGAGACAGTGTACACACACCCTGGCAGCGGTACACACTTGAGGCACATCATGTGATGGTCGAACATCTCCATGTAGTAATTCACTTGGCCAAGTTGTCACACACTACTATCTGTTCCTCTATGGTGTCACTGCATCATGTGAGCTGTTATCGTATATGAGCGTGTACCTGTTAGTGTTACAAAGACACTCATACACAAAGTGGGCGATAGTTATCTCCTTTATAAGACACACTCAGCTGTCACTAGCGAGGATCACTGGAGTGGGTGAAGAAGACTTACCTGTAGAGGCAGTGGTCAAGTGGGTGAGGGGCAGGGATCCCCCAGGTGTGGCGGGGCAGGCAGGCAGGCGGCCAACAATAACAAACACTGCACTACAACAATCCACGCTGCTCACACTCTCACTATCATCTTGGCCTTACTGCTCCTGTCCTAACGTCACTCTCTACTGGGAGAACAGTGTGTTGGCCACTGAACAGTAGCAGCAGGGCCTACGAACCTACACTGACGATGATGGACCGAGGGAAGTGTCAGGAGAGAGGTAGGGGAAGGTAGTATGTGGGAAGACCAGAGGAGCTGGGTGTCTCCCCCTGTGCCGCGGCCCGCGTACTGACTCCCCTCAGGCTCACCGCTCAGTCCCTCACTCTGTACTCCCCTCACTGCCCTCCCTCGCTGCCTGCCACGTAGCAAGTTGTCTAATCATGATGAATCAATTCTTGGCAAACTTTAGGCTTATAGGGTCTGCCACGCAGGAGGGCAGATGTGGAAGGCAGTGAGACCCACGGAGGAAGATGGTAGACATAACGCTCTTGCAAAATACTCACTGTTTCCTTTATCTTTCATTACTTATTGCGAATGTCTGGATGCTAAATTTTGGAAGACCCACACCTGCAGATAATATGAGAAGTCAAGTAAGTTTAGGAGGCATTCCACCAAGGTGTCAGTCATTGGCGGGAGGAGTCAGGTCGCCGACAGACTGTCTGGAGTAAGCGGAGCTGTCAAGCTTGGCGGCCCCGTCAGGCAGCGTACCAACACACGGTGCTCCACCTGCCCGCAAGTACACCCACTAGTTACCTGGTACTCGTCCGCTGGAACAACTGGTGTCTCCTGCAACAGCTCTCTCAATACAGCGATCTATTAATACACCGATTTATTAATACACCGACACGACGATACATCTGTTTGTCGATACCGGTCATGTAATGCACAATTCTGTTCATAGAGTCAACAAATGCTGTACTTTTTTATGCTTTGGTTTGCTAATACAGCGGCCTGTAAGTGAGGGGTGACGGTCGCGTGAGCCGGCCCGGAGAACACAGCACCAGGCGGCCAGGGAGGGAGGGAGGGAAGGGGGGTCCAGTATCGATTGATGTGGGGAAAGGAGGGAAGGAGGGAGGGGGTGCGGTTCGACCACGCTGTACCCCCTTTACCTCCCTTTCCTGCCACCCTCTTCCCTCCTTCTCGTCTTCTCCCTTCTCATCATCGCCTTTTCTTCTGTTCCTCTTCCTCCCCTTCCCTCACCCTCCTCTCCCTCTCCTCGTAATTTTCCTCCTGTTCTTCCGTCATCCCCTTGCCTTCCTCTCCTCCTCCTCCCTTCAGGTCACTGTCTTCCCTCCCTCTCTTTCTCCTCCTCTTCCTAACTGTCTTCCCTCCTCCTCCTCCTCCCCTAACCATCACTGTCTTTCCTCCCTCCTCCCTCCTCCCCCCTCCGTCTTATCCCTCCTCCTCTTCCCAACTGTCTTCCCTCCTCCTCCTCATCCCTAACCATCACTGTCTTGCCTCCCTCTCCTCCTCCTCCTCCCCCCCCACTCCGTCTTACCCCTCCTTCTCTTCCCCGTAACTGTCTTCCTCCTCCTCCTCCCTCCCTAACCATCACTGTCTTTCCTCCCTCTCCTCCTCCTCCTCCCCCCCCTCCGTCTTATCCCTCTCCTCTTCCCGTAACTGTCTTCCTCCTCCTCCTCATCCCTAACCATCACTGTCTTTGCCTCCTCTCTCCTCCTCCTCCTCCCCCACTCCGTCTTACCCCTCCTTCTCTTCCTGTAACTGTCTTCCCTCCTCCTCCTCCTCCTCCCCTAACCATCACTGTCTTGCCTCCCTCTCCTCCTCCCCTCCTCCACCCGCTCCGTCTACTCCTCCTCTTCCTGCAACTGTCTTCCCTCCTCCTCCTCCCTCCTCAACCATCACTGTCTTGCCTCATTCTCCCTCCTCCTCCTACCCCCACCTGTCTTACCCATCCTTCTCTTCCTGCAACTGTCTTCCCTCCTCCCTCCTCCTCCCCAACCGTCACTGTCTTGCCTCCCTCTCCTCCTCCTCCTCCCCCTGCCCGTCTTACCCTCCTTCTCTTCCCTGCAACTGTCTTCCTCCTCCTCCTCCTCCCTAACCATCACTGTCTTGCCTCCCTCTCCTCCTCCTCCTCCTCCCCCCACCTCCCGTCTTCCTCCTTCTCTTCCGTAACTGTCTCTCCTCCCTCCTCCCTCCCCCCTAACCATCACTGTCTTGCCTCCCCTCTCCTCCTCCTCCTCCCCCCACTCCGTCTTTTACCCTCTCCTTCTCTTCCTGCAACTGTCCCTCCTCCTCCTCCTCCTCCCTAACCATCACTGTCTTTCCTCCCTCTCCTCCTCCTCCTCCCCCCACTCCGTCTTACCCCTCCTTCTCTTCCCGTAACTGTCTTCCCTCCTCCTCCTCCTCCCTAACCATCACTGTCTTGCCTCCCTCTCCTCCTCCTCCTCCCCCCACTCCGTCTTATCCCTCCTCCTCTTCCCGTAACTGTCTTCCCTCCCTTCCCAGTGGCCAACAAGCATCCTTACCATGCTGGGTGTACTGTGACCAAAAGCCTTATAAATAATTTTCATCTTTTGTCGAGATAATTATGAAAATTTCCCCCAGAATCTACTTTACTGTAATCATTCTGAATCCTCTATATTTAGTTTCTTCCTGTACCTGTATTCATGATAATTCTTTGACTGTTGCTGTAATACTGAAAGACTGAAATAACGCAGAGCAGGTGATGTTAGTCTGAAATCTTTGTATTTTTTCCTTTATTGTTGTTTCTGTATTTATGAGATGACTTAATGTACATGTGTTTGTGTATGTATTTTTAACTATTTGTTCCTGTAATTACACTTGTACCTGTATTCACTCTTGTGCTTGAACCTATGCCCAAACTTTTAACTGTATTCATATCTGTACTTAAAGCTGTATCTGTACCCATAATTAAACCTCTACTCACACCTTCACAACTTCAAAATAAATATAACAAAACTAAATTAAAAATAAAACACACTGGTCACACCACTTCCACATACATAAAAGTTTGGTCAACCTTCCCATGAACAACTAATGCACTTTACAGCACTTAAGTCTACTTACATGACACTAACGACACTTTTACTAGCAGAGTAGAAGAATTCGTAAAGAGGGGGGTGTAAGCTAGTTGGGGGAAGATACGCACATTTGCCCTCAGTGTACACATGGAGGTATCGCATTCTCAAGTGTACAGTACATATATGTTACATTTAGTACTCTCTCTCTCTCTCTCGTATGTATACATTAATGTTCAAGTTAGGTTAGGTTAGATTTGGTTATGTTAGGTTAGAAAGTTATTTTAACTTGGTTTGGTTAGATTTATCTAAGAATAACTAGATAAACAATTATACTTTGTCCCCCACAGTGTCTAAAAAACTAATACAAAATAATACTTCACATCAACTAACTTTATAAACATTAATCCTAGTTTTCTTTATATACTTTTTTCACTTATTTACATGACATTATATATATATATTTTTTCACACCTGGTGCCTGAGTAAGTCGTAAGGTAGGATGGGTAAGGTAGGCGCTGTATTGCTTCTCTTGTTTGGCGGCCTCTTGCAGCTGGTCAGACGGTCAGCTGTTCCCGTCCTCACCCTGGTTGCCCATTCTATATGTCTTCTTCCCTTTTGATAAATCTTGCAATGTAGGGGTTGAGGGTCTGCTTTACTCTCTCTCTCTCTCTCTCTCTCTCTCTCTCTCTCTCTGTCTATCTATCGATTTTACTAATGTGATCATTCATCATTTTGATAGCGTGATGGCAAGTTAGATACATAGTTTTATTGTCTCACCTTATGGTATCGTTTTGAATATTATCTGGTAGTACTGTACAGGTATCGTGTATATTGTTTATAAAGGTGTTGGTGTTTATTGTAGGTGGCTAAGGTGGCTTATTATGAAACTGTTGGAGGAAATGTAAAACCTACTTTGCCGTTGCCGTATAAATTGTTGTGGTATTTGGTAAGGGCGTAAGGCTGTGCAATTCTTACCATCTGGTTCAGTAACGATATTCCCTGAAGGCTGCGGGGAGTTGATGTGATGTTTACTTCTGTGAACCAACAGTCGGGGAACATGTGTCCAGACTCATTAAGATATTGACGATGATTCTACTGAGGAAATGGTTTAATATAAATAAATAAATAAATAAATATATATATATATATATATATATATATATATATATATATATATATATATATATATATTACTTGTATGTGTAATTTTCTTTTCATATAAGACTTAAAACTCACGAGATGTAATTTAAAAAAAATTAACACAGATTGGAAGGAAAAACTAAATAGGAGGAGAGACTACAGTGTCCTCCAGAGAAGAGCTGAATGTGTTCCCCTGCCACAGCTGCCACTCAAGGCCCGTGTAGCTTCCACTCAGGCCCTTGTAGTCCCCACTCGACACTCACAAGAGTAATGAAGAGCCTCATGCAGGGGAACACTATAGGCAGGCGTCGTTGTCTTCGTTCTTATAGCCGTCAGACATGTAATTGGGCCATTGTGGTGTTCTGACGCATTATTAGCTGTATATATCATTACCGTGTTACATTAGTGGTGTGTTGAGATAATTTACCAGGTTGGACAATCACTGTATCATCTTCCCACCACCAGCTTCAAATATTGACTTTTGATAAACATACAACCGAGTAACGTTGATTGTCTCCGTACACACGAGGTCGATGTTCTCAGTATTAGTCAGACTCACCCGCTAACCATTTCCGATGGTCATGAATATTTCCGATTATATTTTCCTAAAACTTAACCCTCTGAAGATCATTTCTCACGTGACGCTGTAGGGAAGGGCTAAGGGGTCGATCGGCCTCCCCTAATGTCCTAAAACCTAAATCCGTCTCTATAGTGTTACCCAAGAGCTCTGAGAACCTTTTCAGTATTAATGAAAATTGTACTATGGCGGACTGACCCACCATTATTATGAAAAGTTGCAGACATCTTATGTTTTGTTCTGCTCAAGAAAATGGATATATTCGCTACGGTATGGGCATAAAACCTGATTACAACACCAGAAAAATTAACAAAACTTTTATCATAATCATTAAAGATTAAAAAAAGCCTATTGAGAGACGATTTTTTTTTGGGGGGGAAGGGGTTAGTAATGAGGAAACTTAATAAACCGCGTCTTGGAGCAGGACAAAACGTGGGGAAGAAAGTAGAAAAGGTCTCAGTAACCGGAGAAAGAAAAGATTAACAGTACTTAAACATAATGTAAACTGATTACGACATTGTGAAGTCATTTAACTCTTTCCGTTGGGAGTGTTGTCAGGTGGTCCAACACGACCCATCAGAACACTCGTGACCATAATACACCCACAAGAGGAGGGCGACACACACACCCAATCCTCTTTCCAAAACAGTAATCCCTTTCCCTCCCCTCCTCCCTTCTTGCTCTCTCCCTCGCCGCGTCCCCTCCACCCTTTGGTTTTCAAGCTCCCTTTATATGCTCAAACACGCAGTTACTGTCGCGGAGATATACTACTGAACACATATATACCTTCAATACGTGAGATCAACACATCCTGTTACTCTCACATGTATAATGGTAACAGTGTTTGATTTCTATACTTTGTTCTCCAGCTCCGAGGGTTGTATCTGAAAGGAAGCATGCAGGTCAGGGACAACAGGATGGAACACGTAGATCACTCGTGTACACACTACAGCTAAGGACGGCCTCTGACTGGAGGCTTCCTCGGAAAAGCTTCGGACTTAAAGCCACTACGCCTGGCCGAGGTGTTCTGCCATACTTAACTTATGGCAGCATGTGCGGAGCCTGACAGTAATTGCGACTGGCACACACTGTGGTGGGTAAATATGTTCTTCATGTTGTTTCAAGGGGAACCTAATACTCATAGTCATATTTAAACAAAAAAATTAATAAATATATGCACATGTAATAGAATACCTCCCATATTGGTGGCGCTAAATTATAATCATCACTTTTACACTATAACACCTGGCCATCATCACCTTTACAACACTTGGCCATCAGCACCTTTACAACACCTGGCCATCAGCACCTTTACGACACCTGGCCATCAGCACCTTTACAACACCTGGCCGTCATCATCTTTACAACACCTGACCACCAGTACCTTACGCTACAACACCTGACCATCATCACCTTATACTACAACACCTGGTCATCATCATCCTGGCCCCCAGTGGCCCATTGATTTCCTGCCTGGTGTAAAAATAGCCCTCGTGTATACTAGGCTGTATGGGGGAAGGCTGACAATGGCTGGTAGGTGAAGATGAGTGTGCCTTAGGGAACCTCTGATGTTTTGTCGTATTATTGTCAACAACTCTTTTATTTAACCACCAAGAAAGAAGAAAATTATGAAATATGGCGACAAAATTCGTCATGATTTGTTAAAAAAAACACACACACACAAACGGTTGGTATATAGTAGTCATCGCGCCAGTAGGACTCACAAGTCAACAGATTTAACTAAATTACATTAAGGTTGAATCCCCTTCCCTTGCCCATTTTTCCAGCCCAGACCTGAAATCACTAAAAGAGTGTTTTGCCACAGTGTAGTGAACGTTTACTGAATTACATCCAAAGGCAAGTGAAGCTTAGCATCTCCGACTCAGGAATACAGCTAAACCGAATTATTATATTAAATAAAACTCGCTGAAGACTAATCTGTTTTGTCACATCATCTCTCTTAGACTATTATAACTTTCAAAGACTGAAATTTCCAGCCTAGCGATGCTGACTAGTTCGCCACTGCTTCCAGGCGCTGACTATATATAACAACTGTGTTCGGGGTAAAGTGTTCAGGTAACCAAATTCTTCCATAATAACATTAATCCACTATAAAACTCTCTTAGAACATTAATATATGTACTCTAGATAATAAATCACCCGTTGAAATATACAGTGTAGTCAAAATATTTCACTGACACAAGAGAAATGACAAATTCATAGATAAATGTAAACGTTTGGTATGTATCCTGGACATCAGAAAGCAGTAAGCGAAGAGACAGACAGAAGGAACTCGACTCACAAGGTTTGCCCGTCTTCATCAGCTTTAGCGTAGCGCTGATAGGTAACGATCCCCGGGGGTGGGGCGTGTTGGCCATAATTCTGTTAGTCTCCAGCAGCTTAACTTGCCTCGCCCTTTACCTGTTTACAGTATAAATGTAAATAAATAAAAGTGTGTGTGTGTGTGTGTTTTACTTACGTGTACACTGTGACGACTTTTATCTTGTGTTCAAATCTTGATCTACTTTCTGAACTAAATAATTGGGAGAACTATAGTGGAGCTGCTACATAAACCCAGTAATTTACACATCTAGGTGACATTTAGGGGACTGGATCATCATTTCAAGTAAGCTGTCCCATACATCCGGAATATAACCATCAGCTGGGTCTTGGGGCTCTAGTTTTGTCGCCCGCAGGGGCGGATCCAGGAACAGCAAAAGGGGGATCCAAGAAGTTGTGGGTGCGGGAACATGGCGAGCACAGTGAGCCCACCCACCTGGGTGGGGGTGGGGGGGGCATTTTGAGCCCCCGGAATATTTTTTTTAAATCTAACCAATATCAAAGGTGTCTGAGTACAAAACTGCATTAAAGAAAAGGTATAGGAATCTTCCGATGAAAAGGGGGATCCGGACCCCAGGACCCCCCCCCCCCCTGGTTCCGCCCTTGTTTCTCGGGTGCCTTCCTTCTTGAAGGGTCGCCTTGCCGTATGTGTGCTTACTTATGGTATGAGAAACCCATAGGCTTCTTTATGAAGTAAAAATAATCCGTCCAAAATAAATATACAGTATTAAGAAAGGGTACTGTTGGTTGTCGGGGAAATGCTAATAGCTATATAACTATAATTTGACCGTTCATAAAGAAACCGTAGAAATTCCAAATTATTTTTTCAATTTCAATTTAATTATAGTACTTTCTTGATATTTTATTCTTAATAAAGTCACTAAATTTAAGAAAAATTTATTGTAAGGTAGTAGGCAGCTATCAAACAGGGAGGTACTACCGCCTGGGAAGATATAGGAAGCATAATGTGTTGTCTAATGGTAGACCCTGCTGCCATATGGCATCACGAAAATTGTGACCAAGTCCCAGGTTGCTGATCTGACTTTCTGCTTCATTTACACACAATTGCAGGGTTTCAATTGTTTCTCTTACTTTGACAATACAACATACATAATTTTTATCATTTCTCATTCTTTATTTATTTTTTCGATTTTGTATTTATTTATGATCATGTTTAATATTTTTTTTTAGTTTTTTTGTTATTAATATTTATTAATTATTATTATAATAATAATAGTTATTATTATTATTATTATTATTATTATTATTATATTTTCGCCCCCCAGGCCCTGATGTGGGTCAGTAACCTGTGCCCGGGTGGGCTTATCCCCGTAAAAAAGAAAAAAAATCGCAAGAAGCAGAAAGATACCCTTGAATAGACCATTTTCTATGACAACTGATACCAATCTATTTTAATTCTTACTATTTTATGTAGCGCTGATGTAGGAACAGATGGCTATATTATCAACATGAATCTTTTAAGCAAAATTTAGCGACTGCTTTTTGAAGAATCGTTTATAATTTTATGTGGATCATAGAAAATAAGCTTACTGAAAAGTGCAGAAGTTGTGAGTTCACATAATAGATGACGGTGAATCTGAAAACTTTTGCTAGACTATTCAGTGTTGGCACAGGGGAGGGGGAGGTGATCTATTGTGATATCAAATAAATACATAACCATAAACGAAGTATGACATTTTACTGACTATCTGTTTATCTATTTGTCTATCTACCTATATATCTATTTATCTATATATAAGTATATTTATTTAGTTTTCCTCCATCATTACATCAGGGCAGGAGGCACTCGAGTCTTATCTTAAAACACAAATATTTCAACAATCAAGATAATAACCATACTGGAGTGACACCCATAGACGGAAGGTTCCTTTGTTGTAGCTATAACACAGGAACGATTTACCATCTAGTATTACCTGTGAGATACTTTTAATTGTAGTTTATGAGGTTAATAAGTATGGCTGGCTAATTGTGACTTGCCTCTACTGATTGAGATCATTTAAAACACCGAACTGGTATTATTACTTGATTTCATATGTTCCAACATTTTATAAAACACCAGGTTTTTACTGCACTTGTTATTTTTGGTATAGTAGTTGTTGTTCGTCAGTTTTATTAATATTGTATTACTGAGCTACTTCATGAATCTGACCTTGTGAGTGCCAGTGCCAGTCACCTTGAAGTGTTGGGCGTGTTGCTGGCACTGTTATCATCTCCTGTATTTTACTACTTGTCTGTCAGGTTAAGTGGAATCATTATTGTTAAAGTAGCTATACTAGTAATCTAAATTGTTGTAAGTTAGTTAAATTAAGGTAATGGTGTAATTTAGCATAGTACAGTATATTTGTAATTTAGCAATTCCATACCTGCACTCCTTAACTACCTACTGTCGGATATACCGCAGAAGATAAATACTGTCTTCATTAAAATGGTGAAAAATGCACAAAGAAAACTGTACCCATTGTGTAATATCAGTTTTTGGACGGTCCGACTAATTACCCAAATGTAGCCGCAATGAAGTCAGATAATGGTCCTACATGAATAAATCGGACTGCTAATCACTTCTCGACTAGTATTTGGTGTCAGAAAGTCACAAAAAATTGGAAAACTTAGTTTAATCTGAGTTAATAGATCGCGTGCATGTACTGAGGGAGCGAGGAATTACCCAAATGTAGCAAAATGTAGCCGCAATGAAGTCAAATGATGGTCGTACAAGCGTAATTCGGGCTGTGAATTACTTCTCGATTATTATTTGGTGTCATAAAGTAAAAAAAAAATTGGTAAACTTAATTTAATCTGAGTTGTGTTGTGTTAGGTTAGGTTAGATTAGATTAGATTAGATTAGATTAGATTAGATTAGATTAGGTTAGGTTAGGTTAGGTTAGGTTAGGTTAGGTTAGGTTAGGTACATGCACTTGATCTATTAACTCAGATTAAATTAAGTTTACCAATTTTTTGTGACTTCGTGACACCAAATACTAGTCGAGGTTAGGTTAGGTTAGGTTAGGTACATGCACTCGATCAATTAACTCAGATTAAATTAAGTTTACCAATTTTTTGTGACTTTGTGACACCAAATACTAGTCGAGAAGTGATTGGCAGTCCGATTTATTCATCTAGGACCTTTATTTGACTTCATTCCGGCTACATTTGGGTACATTTGGGCAATTAGTCGGACCAGTTTTTGTACAATAACCCATAATGTGTTTGTTATGTTGGAAAAATTATTCTTTTGTACTTAAATTACAAGTCCAGTTGTGAGTGAGAGCTGACAGGGAGAGAAACAGTATTCTCACCAGCTCTGTTGTGGTTAGTGGTGACTTGTGTTGTTAAACTTACTGTTCCTGGGATGAGATTTGGTAAATACAATACCTGTACTTAGCATGAAAATGTCAGACTTTATTTTATAGAGTAATTTCTATTTTGCTTCACATTACCTGTATATTTATTTGCATTAAAATAAACAAACTTTATCAGTGGAGAGAGTCCATCATAGAATAATGTACAAACATGTGAAGTGGCAACCCTCTCTTTAACCTTTACAATTTAGGTGATAAGTCAAGAATATTTAATTATTTTCTATTATATTTTCTGTATTTTATCATTTCACCACTTCTGAACTTACTATCTATTCAAGCAGTTTGTTTGTTCTTTGTTATTTTATGAGATTTATTATCCAGTGTTAGTACAGGATGAAACCAGAGTACCATGGAGAAAACCTGCGATGATTGGTAGTGTCACACTGTTTAACACCCTTCTCACATCTCTCTTGGGCTGGGGATTGAACCCAGGACATAGTGTAAATTAAAAATTCTTATTATGATTGTTGTTACCCTTTTTTTGTAAACAGTAGTTTTAAATATATTACAGTATTGGTGACATCTCTCTTTACCACAACTTAATAGTAGGTTCAAAGTTTAAGAGTTGTATATAGTGAATCCCTGAATTATTTACAGAATCCTGATACCATGGGGATATTAGAGGACACATTTGGTGAATTCTGTGAGCCTGAGTCTGGGAAGAAGACAACTGTAAAGCGTTATACTCTCACGAGTCCATCAGGAGTTGAGGTTCAGGTGAGTTTACATCTGATTTTTCTTGGTGAAATTGCTTATGTAGCTGTTTGGCTATCATATCCTGCCAGTTAGAGTGTCAAGATTCTTCATTGGGTCTGAATTTTAGTTTTCAGAAAGAATTTATGGCTGATATCTGTATCTTATAATAAAAGAAAAAAGTACAATAGTACAATACAGTACTGTACATTGTATTACATGTTCCAGTTAGTTTCTGTCATGTCTCTAGGTGACCATTATCTTTTGGGAATGTGACCAAATTTTTTTAGACTTAAAATAGGTTATTCAAGGTAGAAAAATTTGTCTCTTGGTCATGATTGATAGGTGTCTTAAAAAAGTAAGGGGGAAACAGAATTCTTAGTTAGGAAGAAAAGATGACTTTTTTTTTTTTTTTTTTTACTCTTTGCCAATGATCGGCTCATTAGCCACTTGGGCAGTCTGTCACATCTCTGTTACGCACTTTTGGCAAGTACTGTACTGGGCATGCACCGGCTCCTGAATGTATCTGAACCTGCTCCAGTGCTGGTCAAGTCTGGTCTTGAAAGAGCTCACACTCAATGCCATCACAATACTGTCTGGCAGGTTGTTCTAAGCATGGAGGTTCTAAGAGTTCACATCTCTCACTCTGAAAAAGTTTTCCCTCACAGTTTACTGGACTTGTGGCTTCTTCAACTTTTGGCTGTGACCCCTTGTGGGGTGAGCATCTTTGAGTGTAAGATAATTACTGTATGTTGTAATGTAACCAGAGTACAGTATTTTATCACTGAGGGAAAAAAATGCATTAGCAGGACGTGTTTATTATTCATTTGGAGGACTTTTGTGATGGTCAGTGCAGTGTGTAAAGGACTTTATTGGATGTTTTGAAACCTGTTTATATTGACATATTATGGACAGAAAATTAAGAGGAGATTCTTAAACTAAACATGGGCAGCAATGTGTTTGATGCAAAGAACAGTGTGATGTTATATTTTAAGAGACAGTGTACAGTAGGTGGCTGATGATGACTGACTGATGAAATAACTAGAGTACAGTATTTTACTGTACAGCCAAATAATGTGCAAGTATGATTCGTTTGTGTTTTTTGGCACACAGGTGATTTCATATGGGGCAGGAGTAAGTGCCATCTTGGTTCCAGATAAATCTGGAAAAAAGGAGCATGTTACTCTTGGCTTTGACAAATTGGAAGGTTAGTAATTAATTTATTTATGGTGTTATTATGTTAGTCTATTATAGTTTAAGTGAGAATTACATATACTATAGACACATAGAATGTAGTGGAGTGATGAACATAGTACAGAATATAAACAAAAAATTAAAAAGAAGAATTAGATCACTCAAAGAATATCCATCCTAGCTTATTTCACCTAAAGATTAACCACCCTAACACTTTTTAAGGGGGTTAAGGGTAAAATAGGTAACATTAGGTTTGGTTATCATAAGTGTGGTTAATCTTGAGGTGAAATAAGCTGGGGTAAAGTTTCTTCAGATGATCCAGAGAAATTATAATGTGGAAGAGTATTGTTGTTGGTCATCATAGCTTCATCCTCTTGTGTGTCTTCCATGGACTCCTGAGACTAAATTGTTGCTCCACACTCACAGTGATAATTTGCAGATGAAAAAAGCGGTTTATTTTTGTAATATTCATACACTTATTAAAATTTTCAAAATTTCAAGGTTATGAAGAATTCAGCTACCAGGGCAGCAGTGTTGGTCGCCATGCCAACCGCATCAACAAGGGAAAGCTCTCCATCGATGGACAGTCCTGGCAGCTGAGTATCAACAATGATGCAAATCATCTTCATGGTGGCAAGAGAGGCTGGGATAAGGTACAGTCCTCAGACCCATATAATGGACTTTTATCTAACAGACTTCTCCCTCCATGTTGTACATTACCTAGAAGTTCTATACAGTACTATTTTTTTTTTTTTTTGTAAAATTCCCTGTGACTTTTTTATGCATAAATTATTAATGGTTCATACTCCATTATAAAATTATTGCTTTGTTTTACACAGTATGTTTGGGAAAGCTGTGTAGTTGATGGCAGTGTTGTGTTCTCACGTTTAAGTCCTGATGGAGAAGAAGGTTATCCTGGGGATGTGTTGGCTCAGGTATGTACAGTACTTGATGGTATTTGTAAGTAACTAAAGTGGTTGGTTAACTAAACTGTAACATAGAATTGAGAAAAAGAAAATTGGAAAAGCGTACGTTTGTGTTATCTTTGATTTTATAGCAGTACACTATCTTCTCTTCAGGTTAAATACACATTGAACAATGATGGCGCACTTCGGATTGACTTTGAGGCCATGACTACACGCGCTACACCAATTAATATGACCAACCACTGTTTCTTCAACTTGGCAGGACATGCAAGTTTCTAGATTGATAATGATAAAAGTTTTTGGATCCTCCTGATATGCAGATATGAATTAAACAAACTAAATCAATACTAAGAGCCTTAATTAAGATCTTTTTATTTTGATGATACTTTTCTCACTTTCATATTTAACATTTCATGTCAAAGTTTACTATCTTTGTTGTGGATATGGAATCATGTAAACGATTGAACACAAATTTGAATGACAGTTTATATTCGTGTTGACTATTCTTCATGAAAAAGATGACATTGATACTAAAGAACCCAAAGTTAATGTTTCTTTTAAGGTTTTATTCACATTACTTGTTGATCCTCCAGAGTGAAATTGTTTTTGGTATCCACACAGGATGCTGGTCAGAAAGGCATCTTTGAGCATGTTGTGAAGGTGAATGCAGACTGTTATACTCCTGTAACAGAGGATCTCATACCAACAGGTTTGTGAAAAGTTGATACTTTGTCTACATAGTTGAAGAATTTTATGGTGTTTATCCAGCATTGATGAATTAACAATACTGTATATCGATTTTTGTTCATGAAAGTATCTAATGTACTGTATATACCAGTAAAGTGTGTGAAACTGGGTCATGAGATACTGTACCTTCCTTTATACTGTACATCAACAACCATTTTGTTTTAATACAAATATTGCAGAACATCAACAAAATTGTTATAGAATTAAAAATTGCTGAACAAATTCTTAGATGTTGAATTACCAAGGTTAAAGCGTGTGTGTTGATAAAATTATGATGAAATTATTGTTAGCAGTCTTTCCTGTAGTGATACCCATTGAAGCTGAACTGATACAGGTACAATGCTACATTCTTGTAAGTGAATCTTTTTTCTTTGCCTAAGTTGTCTCATTGTATTGCTATCATCAGAGGATGGTTCCAGTTAGGGTAAAATTAAAATGCCCGGTAGGACTCACTATATGTCTCTTGTTCTTCACTATTCAGTTTTACAAACATCTTATTCATTAATTGTTTCTGAACATTCAGGACTTGTCATTAAGGATAATCCTTATACAAAGTGCAGAAAGTTCATCCCTTTAGAATTATTGTACAGACCTATTACTTTTATTATCTTCGTCACTAATCGGCTCGTTAGCCGCCTGGGTGGTTGGTCATGCTCTCTTATGCACTGTTGGCAAGTACTGGGCATGTACTGCCTCCAGAATGTATCTGTACTGTACCTGCACCAGTGTTGGTCAAGTCCGGTCTTCAAAGAGCTGTTGTCTACTTAAGTTACTTTACTAATTTTGCACTTATGGTGTTCTATCAACAGGGGAGTTGGCACCGGTCGGAGGTACAGGATTTGACTTGCGTAGTCCCATCACATTTGGAGAGGCTCTTCCTAAGGTCCCGGGTGGAGGCTTTGACCACAACTTCTGTCTTCATCACAAGCACAGGGGAGAGCTGGAGTTTGCTGCTCGGTTCCATCACCCACCTACAGGTCAGAGTTTACGGAAGGCTTTGTGAAATATGATTACCACATAGAAATTTTAGATTTATTGAAAAAATCAAATAAACATTCTTAATTATATCTTAACTTTGATTTTAGAATCATATAAACTGTTTATACTGTATATTTAAATGTGAAGCAATAGTGAGCTGGAAATAAACATTTGTGGTGTCCAAAAGACTCAATTTATCATCTTATTAATTATATTAACTGAAATAATGTATCTATAATAGGCTGGTTATCACCTTAAAATAAATTTTTTTATTGCCTAACACTAGTAAATAAAAATTGCCTGAAAAAAAAGCAAGGCATTAGAAAGATTTAAGAATATGGATAAGTTGTCAGTAATATATTGTTTCAAGTAATGTTTGCTATTTTGGTTAAATTGTTTTAAAAGACCACAATGCCCATTTGAATATTTACATTATGGGTGGATAACAGTGTTTTTTTAACTACAGTTTAGAGCATTGTATTTTAAGTCTATTACAAACCTTGCATAAAACTTAATAATAATTGTTAATAGGTCGTGTGCTAGAAGTGTACACCACCGAGCCAGGAGTTCAGATTTACACTGGCAACTTCTTACCCAAAGAAGACGGCAAAATGGTGGGAAGGAACGGCTCGTCTTACACTTACCAAGGATCTGTTTGTTGTGAACCACAGAACTTCCCTAATGCTGTAAATCAGGTAAACAATAATTATCAGAATCATGGTTCAATAAATATAGCGTGTAGCTTCTACGTATATAACTGGAGGGGAAGTCCATTAGATCGAGGCTCCGTCGGATGTGAAACCTCCATCTAACGGACTACAGTATAATCATCAGATCGAGGTCCATTTTTGAAGGTGTCACTGTACTGTATACCATTGGGTTACCCAAAGAGTACGTTCTCCTTGGTTTTAATTTCACACCATTAATAATTTTGCTCTGAAGCCCAGAACTGTAAAGCAATACAGTAATTTGGATTAATTATTCCTGTACTGTATATGTTTGGTGGTTCATTTGATGTTTATAATGTGTGTTAATGGTTAGCCTCATGAGAAAGCTAACAAAAATCGATATTTGTATTTCTTAGTTACCGGTACATTTTTATATTATTTTATTTTATTTGTTCTAACAATCTTGTTTTGTCATGTTTATTTTCTTTCAAGAACATGTTTCCTTGTCAGTAGTAGTTCTTATTGTATGTTAATGCTTACTGTCTTTGGTCATTTGCAGTACATTATACTATTATCTCTTAAGAAGTATTGAAATATGTCCAATCCTATATGCATTTTAAGTAAGGTATCCCTTGCTATACGAATGGCTACGTTCCTGAAAAGCCATTCGTTAAGTGAATTATCATATCGCAAATAAAAGAACATATGACAATGACAAGAAAATGCCAATATCATCTCCTAAAAACTTGAAATCAGTTCACAAACTGCAAAAAAGCCTACCTATCTATCGATAAATAGTACACAACTACTATAATTTACTGCCTAATACATTAAAAACATTAATAAAAATTCTTTCTAGATGAAAATATGAGGTAAAATGACTAAGGAAAATCTAAATAAATGCATAAAAGAGCTGCCATCTTCATAGACGTTGGCTGTGTTGGACATGACCGCCCTCAAGCCTTGCCTTAGCAACCCAGCCAGGGGGGTGCTCCCCTTCCCAACCCCTTCCTACTCTCACATGTAAAGAAATGTTTATTCTCTTAATGTTTTTGACCTTATGATAGTTATTTATTTTACTTTTTTAATATTATGTACCGTTTGTAGGATTATGTGTGCATGTAACCGGGTAAAAGAAAAGTGAAGAAAGTTAAGTTTATCTGTGCGAAATTACAAGTTGAATAATAAACATAACATAATTCCCCCATGTATGTAGGATTGTGTGTACATGCAAATGAACAAAAACAAGTATGATAAAAGTTATGTTTATCTACCTAAAATTATGAGTTAAAAATAACCTAACATAACACTTACATCAGCCTAGTAGGGAGAGGGCTAGGGGGAGGTGGCCATCCCAGCTGACTCCCAGGGGGTGCACGATATGAATTTTTGCCTGGACCCAAATTCGTATAAACGGGAAGCTTTCATAACACGGAAAAGAGGTGGTAATCTAGGAAATTCGTACAGTATAAGCAAATTCTCGTATCGAATTTTCATATAGCGAAGGATACCTGTACAGTATACCATACCGCACTCCACATTTAACCCCATTTGTACGGGATTGCCTTCGATCTGAATAAAATCATCTGCCGTTAAGGTTAATAGTTTATGACATGAATGATGACTAATGACAGAATTGCCGAATTATTTCAGTCCTTAGTGTGGCCTTAATATTGACTTGATCATGATAATTAACATTGCTTTTATGATATGGTTTACTTGTAATTATAGTATTCATCCATCATATTGCAATGCATTGTAATAACCACTGCATTCTTTTTCCACATTTCCTCAGGATAATTTCCCCAATGATGTGACACGACCAGGAAAGTCCTACAGGCACTCCATGATGTACAAGTTTATTGTAGATAGAGAAGTAATGTGAGTCAACAGCAAAGGCACTCTGGGATACAGGCGCGTCTCCATGCCAAATTTCAACTCTATCTTCAACCACACCAACAAACAGACACTTAATTTCTAAATAGGTAACATACTACACAGATAGATATAGTATTATATTCTCATCACCATCTTCACCATAATGCACAAACTGTCTTCAGAATCATATGTGATAAAAAACTGTGATGGGTAATGGAAGTAAAAATTATTATTTTTAGAAAATTTCGTAGCTTTATAAATACTGTAAATAAGTGTAGGTGAGAGAATGCTAACAAGTTTAAAAGTACAATTTAGTACAAAGATGAATTTATTGTATTTTAGTCAACTGAAATTCTGTACACTGAATATTTTTAAATTTAAGTATGTTTGTACTACTGTACTTTTACTGTATTTTCCTTAGAGAATCTGCTTATTGGTGTGAAATCAGGTATTCAACACTAAAAGGTTGATCTCGTGTTTACAGAGTCATTAAAATGTGCTGACAACTAACATCACTCTTTACTCTCATTGGAAAAGACTACAGTACATGATACTGTATGGTGAAGGAATGTAATTCTTTTAATAATTAAAACTACCTTTTGATTTTATTTGAAAAGTCCTTCTCCCTTTGAGCTCTCAGCTCTGCTTGTACTTGCACCTTAGTATGTTTCCTGTTTATTCTATGACATCCTTTATTACTAATTTTAAGAACCCTCCATGTATGTATTTGTGTGTACAGTACTGTATTATCATTAAAGCTTGTGTTCCAGAATGAGAAAATTTTAATACAAATGGGCATTATTTTACACTGGCTAACAGAGCAATTAGATTTAAGTGCCAGATGCCATTTTACTTCTATGCAGTTAAATAAGATTATCAGATTATTATTTTATTTTATTAACCTATATTCTGTATTCATACTTCCATATAGTACTTTATAGAAAAGTGGAATTGGAATAAAAGTTAAATGGTGAGGATGAAAAATGTCTACAGGTTTACTGTTTTGGACTTTTATCAAAATTTGGGAGTTAAGATGTTATGAACAGTACTGAACTGGAAATTCTTTTCATGGTCTCTTCATAAATAAAACTGCAGAGAATCTGATAACGGTACATATTGGTGAAGAGGATAAAGATGTAATTGCATGAAGACCATCATTACAAATGGCAAACACAGGAATGAAATACTGCACCTGTACTGTATAAGTATAGTATTACATATTTTTCATTAAAATTAAGGTTGATATAATTTTAGCAAAGTAAAGTAGTGTGGAGTTTTCTTTATTTCTTATGAATCTAATCCTCAGTTACTTTCTAATTACAAATAAAAACAATTTAAAATGATAATTAGTCATATGAATAATTTATCCAATACCGTTTTCATTTAGATAAAAGAGGATTAAGTGCAGAAGTGCCTAACTACCACTAACAGTAACAACACTAACAGTTGACAATTAAAGAATATTCCTTCTAATTTAGCCGATGGTAGTTATAATTCATATTTACTAACTAATTAGGTTTGTATATACGTTATCCCCATTTATCTTCAACATATTTATCCCGTTACGCCCTGTTTTAAAGGAGTACACAGTTTAAATTATTGAAGTCTGTCCTTTAAGTTTCATGTTAAGTATTTCCCGTTTTCTGTGTCAGGAGGAAAACAATGCGCCGCTGCTGCCATCTGGTGCAGGAATTTTTTAATACAAAGTAGTACGAGAAACTTTCGCTAAACTCATATTACTGCTTAATTGAAATTAGTTAAAGTTAGATAAAAATAATGTAAAAATGTACTGTAAATAACCTTCATATATTAAAGATTTTTGAAACTTTGTGGTAGAAAATAAAAATTTCATTGTTTGGAGTTCGACCTTATGTATTCCTCCGCCATGACACTTGTGATTCACCATCGATGTTGATCACACTAGTAGAGGTTTAGTTATGACTCGTGTATGGTGGAAATGGTCTATGAAAATGTAGCAGTGAGTATGTGATATAGCCATGGCCCGGTATGGGAGCGATCCTGCCACAGAGACAAGCCGTCTACTGCAAACGCTCAATCTGTACAAGTCTGAGGCCGCCCACTCCAATGGTGGTATGGGCGGTGAGAGCCAGGCTGTGGGTCATCCAGGGCCAAGGGAGGTGACCTCAGTCCAGCAGGATGGGGCGGGTTATGGCCGCATACTGACACGGGTGGCTGGCAATGGTAATAACAGCGCAGGCGCGGCAGGCGGCGCAGACGCAGCAGGGGCACATCACCCACGGATCGGCGCCATCGAAAGTCTTATCAAGCAGGGGACGGACACCCCCACCTCCCAGCCCCCACAACTGTATGAAGTGCTTGATTCTCGAAGGGTTATCGCTGCCTCCAAGTTTGCCACGCCCAAACAACCTGACGCCGTGGTAGTGTCCAGTGGAGCAGCGTCCACCCATGCTGTGAATGGGGGGGTGACCACAGCACCAGGTCTAGTTACTGGCTCAATCACTACCACCACTGCTGTCGGTTTTGCTCATATTACTCCAACCACCGTTGTTAGTAGTAAGAGCAGTGTGCATGTTGTCAATGGTGGATCTTCAGTGCCTAAACCTGTTAATGGACAGTCTTTATACTCTGGACATGTGCGCTATGAGCCCCCACCTATTTATGGTAGGAACAACCTTAATAACTCTGCTCACTCAAGCCCTCGCTCAAGTTTGAGTGGTGGCAGTCATGATTCTCTGAATTCTGGACAAAACTCTCGAACCATTCCACAATCTGCGACTCATCATTCCAATGAATACGTTGTGAAACCTAATTTTTTAGGGCAACTGCATACATATGAAAATATTAACGCTTATCATCACTATGGACCACAGGGTAGTTTAGCAGCTACCATTATTGAAAATAAGTATGCCAGTCCACGTTCCAGTATAAGTTCCCAGGACTCAAAGCATTCCAGCCCAAGGAGCAGCTTAGTACATTCCTTTCAAGGTTCTAGTCTAGATAGGACAAGTTTAGCCAGTCAAACTATTTTGGAAGAGGGTAGTTTGCATAGGCCCACGATAGTTAATAGACATTTACCCCCTCGAATAGAACAAGACTTAGAAGGCAAAGAGTTTGTTATTCCAAGAAACAATGCATATGTTCAAGAAAATGCTAGACATAATTCTCAGTGGAGTGTGAGTAGTGACTCTGTAAGACATCGTGGAATATATTATGATGCGGTTCCACCTCCCCCTGTTCCGCCCCATTCTCTAGGCCTAACTCGACCGACACACACGCCTGTTGCGACTCCGAGTCCTACGGCACTTCCTCCTCCCCCGCCCTATCCAGGGAAACCCCCCAGCTTAAATTCAGTGTCTTCAACAGAAGCAAGTGAATCCTCTGTGTCACTTGGAAATTCTCGTGCTACATCTGTTGTGTTTCCTTTAGTGACATCGACTCATAATTATGCTAATATTGAGGTGCTAAAGAGTGTCACTGGAGCTGATCCACCACCGCCTCCACCGTATCCTTCGTCTCTTGTGCGACAGTTTCAAAACTTAAGCCTTTCTAGTACTCAGTCTCCCCTAGGAGCACACTCTCCGATCCCATCTACTCCGTCAACTCCTTCTACTCCCTCAACCCCTCAGAGTTTATTGAGGGCAGGAGGAGCACCACCTCCCCCACCACCACCTTATCCATCCTCAGTGGTAAGGGCTGCACAACAACAATATTTGGTCCCGCCTCCACCACCTCCGTATCCGTCGTCAGTAGTGAGAAGTGTCTCGTCTGTACAGTCATACGTTCCCACCGCCTTAGGCCTAATCACAGGGCAGATAGCTCAAGTTCCGCCACCGCCGCCACCGTACCCCTCGACGGCAGTGCGCAGTGTTGCTTCTGGGGTGAGTTACAATTGCCACGGCAGCAACATGAGCCAGAACAATAACACAAGTAACTCGGTGAACACTCCAAGTGATCGCTTAGCTCAGTGGCAACACAAGTTGGGGAGTGGTGTACATGGTAACCAGCAGCAAATGTCTTCCAATATGTCAACCATCTCGCCAGGCATCACCACAGGCCATGCACACACTCCCCCAACCCCATCTACAACAGCTAAGCCTGTCAGTGGCAAGAATCTACTACCCTATAATGTTACAGCAAAATCAATGGTAAGTACTGATATAATTCGTGGAATTAATATAAGGTTACGATGTTTACTTCTCTATGGTCCTTTGAGTTTTTGTAACCAGCAACTTAGACTCTAATCTTGCCTTAAGATTTCTTGGTCCTATGGCTAAACATGCTTGAAATTATATAATGTGGCTATTTAAGACCAGGTACTGAAATTTGTTTAGGTAATTTTCAAGTTTAACTCTGCATGCATTGCTTTATTGTTTAACTTACAATGTGACATATAGTTACAGTAGTACTATATGTATACCAACATGTAGCTTTTTAAAGAGAGGATTTTTTATACTCATTATTATGTATTCAGTATTTAATCTTTTTGAGTGGCAAATATTCCAGGGTCTCTGCCTCTTAGTTAATTGATAAAACCTATCACAGACCAGTCAGATTTTAGCAGGTATCAGTCACAGCACAGTACAGTAGAGTATTGCATAACTTCATTACAATATACTGTACTGTATGTGCTGTGGTTCATTCCTTCTAAAATCAGTGATGGTTTTGTTAACTTGTCAGAGGTGTGGAGGCCACAGACTACTTGTTGCTTCATAAAAATAAATTCTAATCAATGTGAATACTGCACTGTAGTACAGTATTACACACCTGAAATGGGTTTTACTAAGTGAACACAGTTCTTGGGTAATGTTTAAGGACAGTCACCCGGGTTATCCAGCTACCTAAAGAAAAATATATGTAAAAGAAAATTTATTTCTTGCCTGAAGAATAAAGCAAACCAGTTGGAGGAATAGCACTTATCCTATTGTCGTTTTTGTCCCAAGTTTTTCTCCTTGCAAAGAAATATACCACTGTTGATACATGTTGCTGCTCATCATGGTAAATATTTAGTAGTTACCACCACCTAATTGACTTTTGAAAATGGGTTTTCACAGTGTATATCATTGTATTAAATACAAATATGACCTTCATTGCTGTCGGAAATGAGCAGTAGTTGAGATATTGAACAAAAGTGTAAGGTCAAACAATGTAAAAACTTAAAAAAAACTATAAAAAAGGCCAATCTTAACCTACCTCACCTTACCTAACCTACCTAACTTAACCCCTAGTGTGTAAGAAACTTAACTTAAGTAAGAGATACAGGAGGATAGAGTGATGCGACTTGAATGAGGAGGTGATGTCTTCGTCAGTGTCCGTCTCCTACCACAGGCGATCTACACGGTACTGACACTGAATTACATCTTGGACACTTTACAGATGAAACAAGAACACTGTGAGCCTTATAAATGTCAACGGCTGCTGCTTCATTGTCCAAATGCGCTGAATAATGCACCAACCAGCCAATGTACATCCTCATCACACAGACGCCGTCTTCCAACTGCCCGCGAATTGAAACGTGCTGATTAGCGCACGGGTATTGCATCGCATCAACACTCACGCTGATTGGCCAAATATTATAAAATACAAATGACATGAAAACTATACATTTCCAACAGAAAGGTTATATATACAGGTACAGTACTCCTCGACTTACGACAACCCGGACATACGACCGCCGTGGTCGTATAAAATATTTTTCAAATTACGTATTTTCTAGTACCGACGTTAGTGATCGCGCTGTGTACTGACAAAATTTTCGTTTGTAATTCCCTTTGAAATGGCTTGCAAGCGTAAAAGTTAGAGTTCTCGTGGTGCTGAGAAGAAAAAGAGACACCCATTTTAGAATTTCTATGTATTATTTTCGCATTTTCGACTTACGACCTGGTCGTCGGTCCCTAACCCCGTCGTAAGTCGAGGACTGACTACACAATTTCAAACCAAAATGAATTTAAAACGAAGATTAAGTTCCATTTTTGCTGTACAATACACAATTACAAACCAACTTGCAACAGTGGAAGATTTACCAGAATACAGTGCAGTAATATTTCATTGCAATCACCTGGGTTATCTACCAACTTAATGAAAACTTATTTCTTACCTTGAGACTAAAGTAAACTGGGTGGAGGAATAGAACTTTTCCTATTTAGGCTTTTGTCTCTAGTTTTTCTGGTTAAAAAGGCCAGACGCCACTGTCACACACCTGCTTTGATGTCATGTATATGACAAATGACTAGAGCATTACACATTGACAACCTATCAATAAATTTAACCCCATACAAAATGTATGCCTGTCATTTGCCCACATGAGCCTAATAAACTTCCACCCTTGGTTGGGTGGGCACTGAAAGGCTGGTTTGTATGTGGGCAAACTACAGTAACATTTATTGCATATGTATACAGTAGAGTACGTACAGTAATGTACAGTATATACAGTACTATATACCATATGTATTGTTAGGAAAATTGCAAATCCTTCCAACCCACTTTTATTATTAACAAGTACCATCATCCATTTTTTTTATTATTATTATTAATAAAAGGAAGAATGACTTATCGTCAATGCCTATAATTTTTTTTTTAACGTTGCTTCTGGTCGCTGCTACTGTGATTTCTCAGGTATTATTGTTTTGGTCATCCAGCAAATTTTAGGAGGGTTAGGTTTGGTTGAAATTATGTTTTTCCGGTGGTTTTTTTTTATGTGTTTTGAACGATTCTGACCTTTATTTCTATTGTAAATTACTACTTTTTGTATGTCCGGGTGGTCGTAAATCGAGTAGGTCATAAGTCGAGGAGTACCTGTACTGTAAGATTGGGAGGCTTCAGACAGGGTTTGGGGGTTTTCTAAGCTGCTGTTTAAGCTTGAAGGCTAAAAGCATATGTTAAGTACTGTAGACTGTGTGTGCATGAATTAATGAGCTATCCATACATGTTAACAGAAATTCAGTAAACATAAACTCATTCTGTGACGAGAAGGTTTATAAGTGTCCGGGGTCTCCCCCAGAGAAGGGGAACTTTCAAGAAAATTGAACTACTGTTGGTGAAAATGTCATACTATTTGGCTCTGTTAGGGGCTAATTTTTTAAGATTGCCGTATACATTAGGAGGGACAGCAAAACAAATTTAATGGGGCATCAGTGCCCAGTATGCATGTTCTTGTTTACATTTTTTTTTGTACTGTACCATGCATATTGCCATTACTGAACAAGTTTTATAACATGCAATCTTGCAAATATGCTTGAATAATATTTGGAGTGTGCCTCTCAAGTCATTTTTTGAACTGTCCGAAGTTCACCCCAAGACAAAGACAATTTTCACATATACACTGTAGTTCCATTCAAGTTACCGGTACATCTTGAGGTATAATAATGAATGCCCCACGTGTAACAAAGATGGCCAGCCCTTGGGCCACCTACGGTAGGTGTGAATTTGTTTAAGGTGTAGAAGCTGTTGCCAACACACCCACCACACCCTGAATTAACTAGCCGAGTGACCCAGTGTCAAGGAATATTCCGAGAAGACCGGACAGCTCGCCAACTGCACTTGCTAACCATTACCCCGGAACACAATCCACAAATCAGTTAACATCCAGGTTCCCAATTACTGCTGGGTAGACAGAGGCAAATGGCGTAAAGAAACTTTCCCATAGTTTCACCCTGCCTGGGGATTGAACCCAGGTCTGCTCACTTACTAGGTGAACATGCTGACCATTACACCACAGGATGTATCAAGCACCCCAAATTGTTTCTAAATTTTCAAGATAAACAATTTTCTAATATTACTTTATGTACTTTGGTATACTATGGCAGAGAAAGTTTTGCAACATTTTAAAACTTTGGAAAAAATGGATTTTGATTATTGGCTTCCATTTATTACTTATACCTGTACGTACTTTGAAATAGCAAATTATACTAACATATGAAAACTGCATAGTTGGGGCAATATTTTGATACCCAACCTAGTTGTTTACGAGCTGTCACCTCTTTATTTTTTTTCAAAATTTTGTCCGAAGTCACCCCAACTACGGTATCATTACAATTGAGGCCAGAGATACTGTACTGAATTAACTTTACTAGTAGACCCTCCCTTGCCATTCACGAGTTTGCGATTTGCGATTTTGACGATTCACGGTAAGCAGATGGTGGCTATGGTGGCAATCTTGCGAGCTTTTCCCCGCAGCGCAACGAGTCATCCCACATGCCCGCAGTGTTTCCTCTCTCTCTATTCACGCTTAACCATTGCCTGTGACGCAACATCTCGTGTTGTACTCTCAAAACTTTAGTGTTTCTGTGTGATATGGCCCCTAAATGACTGCCTAGTGTCAGTGCTAGTGGAGTGAAATGTAAAAGGCAGAAGTCAGTGATGACCCTGACAAGGAATGTTGAATTATTAGATAAGTTAAAAGAGGGGATGAATGCTGCCGCAGCTTGTCGATTGTTTGGCAGAGGTATACAGTAGTGCATTAAGGTAGTTTAAGTTGCTATTCGCAGTTTTGCTTATTTGCACCATTCCTTGGAACCTAACCCTGCAAATAACAAGTGTTTACTGTAGTATAGTGGTGCCATAAGATTTTTTTTTATTTTGTAGCGAGCATTTATTACTTTAATGTGGTTGGGTTGTACTGTCAGAAATGTTAAATAAAAGAGTTTAGCTATTAGTATTTTTTATACTAAAATTGACTATACAGTTCAGTATCATGGTGACTGCAGTACAGTATCTATCCTTCTGGCTAAACAGGCAAAATGTAGCAGCTATGCCTAAACTTCAGGTAACTTAACTGAGATGTAATCTGTGATTGTTAGTTTGATTACTTGATTTAACTTGTTTAAGAGAATTGCAGGGTTGTTGAAATATGAAGATTAATACAGTATTTTTTTTTATTAACTAGCACTGTACCCATAAACTATAAGTACCAGTGCAGTACTTTCATGCAACAAACGTGCTATAGAAATATTTCAAAGAATCGCTAAGAGTTATGACACATTTGTTGTTAACCTATACCCTAAAATGTGGTTTTTAAGCAACATTTATAGACTTTTTCGTAAATCCTTGTACATTTACTGTAGTGTAGCCCACATGTGGTACTGTATACTGTAGTATGTACGGTAACTTAAACTCATCATTTACATTGAGTGCTGTGATCAGATAATGA